ATCCTAAATATGTCCTAATTTATCACAGTATAGAATGTTTCCTATATTGTCAGGACTTTCTGATGTAGCAGCATTTCAAATTTACGTTTTCTACTTAATTTTCCCACAGAACCACAGGAATATAGTAATGATCAGTTTTTAAATTTAAACTGCTTTAGTCAATAGTAGTTTGCAGAAGTGAGCATTTAGTTCAATAAAATTCGGGAATAGCAGTGGATAGCTATTAATTTCACTTTCAAGAATCTTGATTAAAATTTATTAAGAAAGGCACATGGAAGCTGAACAGTCTGGAATGTGCAGTTATTTTGCTTAGGCTTCTATTTATTTATTTATTTAGATGGAGGGGGATTATAAACATAGGGCCAGACTACAGCACATTTACTTTCTTGAGCTGTATAGTACTCTGCAAAATATTTCAGGTGTATTTTCTATAGGACCTCTCAAGATGTTCACTATTATTCTGCACGAATATGAGGATACCAGTAAGTCTTAGATATAAACCAGAATGCACATAGACACAGAAAGCATGATGTGCAACCTTTCTTCGTGGGAGCAAATTAAGTCCACAAGACTCCTCACATGTACAGTCTGCAGGTTCAAAAAGTCGAAAATGAGTAAACCACACAAAACAATCACTTTCATCCTCTTGCTTAACTTACTGCCTGGGCGTTCATTCTCTAATTTTGTAAAGTAGGGTAAAGCCTCTAACTATTGCTAGCTGGACAACTGCATGATTTTTTTTAAGCTATCAAAATAGTCTCTGTAGTGACCTCATTTACCTAGTAACATTTAACAATGGAAGACAATGATTGCATCCCTTTATCACAGACATATTTTTAACTTTTATGAAGTATATTGCATTTACATTTTATTTTTTAAATTCTACAAAGTGAAAAATTGTTCAAACAGATTGGTTGAATGTTCATGGTTTCTTAACAGATAATAGTAACTAATAAGAGGATGCCACTTGAGGAAGAGATTAACAATAAAAATGAATATATTTTGTTTTCTTTTGCACACATGCAAATAATTATTGATGACCCTATTGCAACTCCCATACTTTATCAGAATTATATCCCATGTATCAGTAAGGAACGTGACAAGGGAACTTCTTTATGTCTAGTATAAATCAATGATTGCTGCCTTAATTTAAGAGCTGAGCGATGATAAGATGCTGTGACTCAATAAATTTGTTCTTCTAATATTATGCAGAAGAACATAAAACCTGTTTGTGCATTATAATGTAGCAATAACATACCCATTCCTAATCACTGGCACACCTAACTCTTATAGCTTGCTTATAGCATGCACAATAAAAAGTTTGCAAAATAGGAGAATTTCTAATTTTCATATACCTGCATTATGAATCCCTGAAGCTATTACAAAAACATACTAAAATACTTAAGCTATAAGGAAAAAATACAATTTACAGAGTACATTTTCTTATTATTGCCTTTGAAGATAGCATCAGTTGTCTAAACAGGCCTATAAAACATTTTAAGGGTTGCAAAGATACACCTTAATGCACTTATCTTTCCTTTCTTAATAAAAGATAAAGCAATAGCAACATTCAGAGTGATAAACAAGCAAAAGAGAGCAATAACTTACTGCTTGCCTAAGTTGACCTCAAGTCTAAGAATCAAGGATTGCTTTCTGTTGGCTCTGGTATTAGTTCAGCTAAATCCTAAAGCATATTCTTAGATGGCATGAAGTTGCCACAATTGCAAGCAAGCAAAGGAATGAAGGAACATTGCTTTATCCTAGCTGCAGATCAGGGCCCTCCGAGGACTAACCACCTGCCCCTGTTTTAGAATTAATGGTGGGGTAAAACTGATTGTTTTGTAACTGTTAGCAGAGGATTTGCTCTCGATTAGTTCTTTTTGACCTTGTGTCTTAACGCAGATATCTCAGTGGGAAATGAAAAGGGAGTGGGAAAGGTGAAACAGAATGATAAGGAAGCTGTGATATTTTCTAGTGTAAGAAATTAATCATTTAATATACATTCAGGGTGAACTTTGTGATCTGTGGGAAGTGTATGTGTTTATTTTAGCATTTCACAAATTCAGCCCCTTCCAATTCATTGATCAACTGGAAAAAGAGAAGGTACTGTTTATTGTAATGTATCTGTGACAAGAGTGAGAGGGAGAGGTGTAAGTCTTCCTAAATTAGAATTGCTTGACAAAGAATATTTTTGAGAAGTCTCTTCAGTATAAATCATGTTATTCTAGTTCAAAGCAGCAAATTCAAACAAATGTACAAAATATATAAACTACTAAGTTCAGGATACTAATGTAGATATGGCTGTTTACATTCTCACCCCATTTTGCTAAGCGTGAAATGTTGAAAGCCATTGTAGAGACCACAAGCATTTCAGTCCTGGCTTTAAGTAAAACAAGATATGCAAAATGGAAATTATTTCCTAACTTGAGGAAAGATTTAGCAATATGCACATTTTCTTTGAGTAACAGTTTCATACACTTAAATTGTTCAGTGGTGGAATAGATTAATAAAATCTCCTTTTTTAGCAATAGAAGGGAATAAAGGACTTCATAAATATATGCTTGCAGCTAGTGTTTACAAAATCTGCTAATGACTCCACTAATGGAAGTTAGATTATGGAATATATTTTGCATCAGGTTCATGCCTGAAGCACCTATTATACAAAGAGTCCTTGACAGATGTGTTTTTATTTTGGATCCACAGTTCTTCACTTAGAAGAACACATATCATATTTGGGAAGGGATCTTTCAGTGCGTGTATTTGCATGTACTGCTACCTTTTTTCTTGACATTTTTTGAATCTTTTTTACACACTTCTGATGATTTCAACTTTAAGTATGCAAAACCCTTAAAAGAATGCGTGATACTCAGTATTCGTTGCTGTGTGACCCTGACCGTCTCTGGTGTGTTTGTATGGCCAGATACTCTTCCATCTTTAAATACTGTTTGTAACCTACGGCAAGATAACTTTTAGACTGATGTCATAAATAAATAATCCCTTTTTTAGCACAGTAGCAAGCTAAACAAAATTACTCTCTTAAGATGCTCAGATCTGATATTCGCGTGATCCCACTGATGGAGAAAAGATTACAGAAAGTATTTTACTCTGGGTTTATTTTGAAACTGTAGGGCCCAATGCTCATACTGTTCAAGACAATGAAAAATTTCTCATTAATTACAGAGAAAAGAAGATTAGGTACAGAATAGGTAATCTAATAGATAGTAGATTTCATTACTTATCTCTGTGGCTGATGAAGTTACATACTAACTTTCCATTTTCCCTGCACTTCAAGGTAAGTATTTGCAGTATTCACCCTTGATGAATAGTACAGGCAGTCGTAGACTACAACCTGTGAACCTTCCCCCCTGCAGTTCTGCTGTGAAAGAATTGCCCTTTTTACTTTTTTAAGCAGCTGCGATGATTAAATCAGTAAAATACTACAGAAGAAGGGCACTCTAACCAGTGTCATGACCAAAGGACCATACTATGCCTTTTTGTTAATTGTGGTGCAGAACCAAAAGGCTAGATGGAGATGAAAGGTGTGAGCTGCTGGGTGGCTATGCAGACATTTAGGAAAGTAAAATGGGTTACAGGACCATGATTTTGAGGATGTCTGCAATGTCCAAGTGCAGAAAGTAAGCTTCCAAGCAGAGAGAAAGATGCCTTGTACCCTGACTCTGCTCTCATCTCAGTATTATCCTTATGTTCAACAGGAACACAAAACCGATCTTGAGAATCTTGTTTTGATTTCTTATAGTTAAGAATTAACCCCTGTAGCTCAATTTCATGTTGTGCAGACTTAACCTCATTAGAAAGAAGGAGATGACTAGATATTACTGCCAAATATTAACTCTATTAATTCTAAAAACAAGTATAAATATTAATCATACTATTAAAGCTACAATATTAAATATAGACAGTTGGGTGGGAGAGAGTCACAACCTGAAATATAATGTAAAGATAGAAACAGCACATTTTCAAGCTTCATTTCATTATGCCAAGAATCCCGATCATTTGAATTTTGATACTTTTTGTGATACTACCAACAAAAATGACATCTGTAATACAGGTAAACCCAAAAACCAAGTAAAGCCATGAACTGACTTTGCACAGGTGACAAGCTAGCTATCACTTGGAAAAGCTTTGGGTTTTGAAAATTTAGACAAAATTAATTAAGCCATTTAGAGATTTACATTTCTTTAAACTCTAAATCCATTCCTTTGCCTACCCATTGATTTTCATCCATGTCAGTAAATAAATTACTATTAGCTATTTGAGTTGTTACAGCTACATATTCTTTATATTCTTTTTACTCATTATAAAGCAAGTATATCTTTTTAGAACAGATTCCCCATTCATCCCTTTATCATCCTTCAGGTACTAGAATTTTAGAACTGTAGCATATTCAAAAGCAAATGTTATTTATTTTAGTCTGCTGTGGTTCTTTATTTCTCAAAATATTTTGACAAGCCTTGGAGAATAAGATGGTTTTTGAAAAGGAAGCATGAATGTAAAAACTATGAATACAGAATGAGATAAGTGTAAACCTGCAGAAGACCAAGGTAATGGAATTAGAGAGAACTCAGCTGGGATACAAAAACCATTTACTTTGATAAGTGGGGAGGAAAAAGGAAGGAAATTACTTCTGGGTAGATTTTTCAGACATTTCCTATGCACAGTGGAATGTTAACATACTGAGAAAATTCAGGGATGCAGTGATATATATGGCGAGCAGGGACCTAGGAAGCAAATACATATATATATGTTGTGTTTGTCATCACCAATATGCTTTAGTTTTCTCTCTCCTTATGATCTGGCTCCCACTGCAGTCCTTGTCCTATATTCATCTAAAATTTGAGCCAACTTTGGAGACAGTTTGCTAACCTCTCTCACCCTTGAAAGCTCATGGCCAGTTTGTGTAGATCAGCAAGTAGGAAGTCAGGGAAGAAGCATTAAAGAAACAACTAAAAGAAGTGACGTGTAATTGTTCTTTTTACCAGCTATCTAGAGGGGATCATGGGAGGATTCATATGAGGTTTACTTCTCCTTGCAGAAGAAGAAAAGAAAAAGGCCCTTACAGGTAAGTTTTTAACTTCTTTTAACTTCTGTTAGCTTTCCTTGGACACTCATCCCACACCAACCTCTTGGTATAAGAGAGCACTAATGTTAGTGGGAGTTACACCCCTCCTGCAAGACAGAAGGAGGTATTAGATAATCTGCACTAAAAGGATGAGGAGGATGGCGAGTTGTTTGAAAATCTGTAAACTCCAATAATAAATGTGTGCTGGGCAATTTACATGCTTTTTTTGGTTTATCCAGCTAGTACACTTCATTCTAAATTTATCGGCTACCTTTAGGTCCACATGTATAATAAGGGCTTGTAATACAAACCCACATCTATGCTCAATGTTAAACTTTGCTTTCTTAAAATCATCCTAACCATTCTCTGAGGGATTCTTCTGCTATAGAAAATCTACCAATACATATTTCCACAGAATGGCTCATTGATTTCCTTCCTGTATTTCATTTTATTTCTTATGCGGAATCTGCACAGCAATTAGGTGTTCATGTTTCTGACTGCTTTTTCTTTCAAGTTTTCCTTTTAAGGATTTCCTTCAGTCTTAGTTAGATTTATGTTTTTATTTGTGGAGCTCTTGAGCTGCAAATATGAAGGGGAGGCTTAACTTTATCACAGTATGTTCTAGCTGCTTTCTTTTCAGTAAGTCCAATCCCAGCATGCATTGGGAATTAAACTTTTAGGGTCAACAGTGATATAACACATTGATATGTATATATGTGCTTTTTAAAATTCAAGAGATCGAAGGTCTAGACATATTCATACACATATGCCTGCATGAACATTGACTGTCAACATTTAGAGGTCAGGCTGAAGTCACTGCAAGATGTTTTTAGTTATTTCAATGTACGTTACAGTGGAGCTGTGGTTAAATGGTAAGTCATATTTTTTCTGAAGTTGTTCACTTAAATATTACTGGTAGAGTTTTTCAAATCTATTGCATATTCACAGTTCTGATTGATTTCACTATGTACTGTTCAGAAAATCAGGGCAAATATTCATCTATGTTAAGGTGACTAATCTTATGCTTCTTCTTGAAAATGCTTAGTAGAAAAACATTACGATGGAACCTTTTTACTCCTGATGATGAAAACTATAATTCATCTGAAGTAGGAATTAGGTTTAAAGATGCTATTGTGTTCCCTCATGGGAGTTTTAATTTGATTTTGCCATTTTCCCATACATACATATATATATATATATATATCGTTTATATATATAAATATATATATATAAGGCTCCCAGAGTTGACCACATATCCTGTGATCCAACAGTGTGCCTCTTTTGGATGAAAAGAGGTGATGCAGCATAGGAATTCCTGATGATAATGCATTATAGCAAATGGGAAGACAGCCCAGAGGGGAAAGTAGGTATCTAAGGCAACCAGACTGCTGTTGCCAGATGCACTGCAATAGCACATCCAATTAAATGTTTTGATTTATTTATTCTAAGACTGCAAATATTTCAAGTCACTATATGTCTTTTATTGAGAAACTTGACTTTTTACCTCAAACCAAATTTTTCTATAGAAATATAAAGTGTGTTAACATATATAAAAATGACAGAACAATTTCAAATTTCTGAGAGTTTTTTTGAGGGGAGGAGGTATTTGGTTTTGCTATACTATTGGGGTTTGATGCAGATAGGAAAGAGTAATGTACTCATAAGCTAACAAACAGCAGCTGGTTTAAAGCAATTAGTTATATCAGAAATTGTATAGAGTAGGGGAAAAAGAGATAACTCTATGTATTAAGTTCTCATTAAGAAACAAAGGTGTTCAGAAACCTCTGTAAAGTGAGCTCTCAGGTAAGTATGGTTGGACGAAGCAGACAGAATGCACCAGATGGAGAAGCAGCTGGTTTATGTGTATAGGAGAAAGGTATTTTGTTTTTCTGCTTGTTATAAACTCTTTATAGTGCTTTTTTTTTTTTTTTAACGTAACTAAGTATTTAACACCTTGCAGTGGATAATAAATGTTTCAGAAGACAGACATCTTAATAAAAGACCCTTTGTTTTGCTGGTAGACAACAGGAATCAATCTCAACTGTTTACATGCCCTTAATTGCTTCCTGGGGATCTGTGCCCAGCACATACCTTTATTATTTCTGATACCTCCCAGTGTTCAAACAGCACTAGAAATAGGAAGCATTTACAAAGATGGGTGTATATAGCAGCCATTGCTGGGTCAGAGAATATAATCAGATGAAGATATGGATCCCCTCCCTTGATTAGGGACGCTATAGCTAGATTATAAGCTCTCTCCCCTTTACTCTTATCTTTGAAGAATCAGATACCATCATCTTTATGATATATTAAGGGGCACAACTCACAACCATGCAGATATACATAGATTTGCAAATATGAGTCTATATACTTAAATTTGTAGAATGTATCTCATAGCCATTGCCTAGTCTCATGAAACATCAGCAGAATGCAATGATCTCTGCTGAGTTAATGCAGTATCGAAAGAAAGAAAGAAGGAAAACCGAGAGAGAGAAGGAAGGTGGTAAAAACCACCGGAGGCGTGATTTACTCTTTACAGAAATGTAATTGTTATGCTCTAATTCTAAGAGGTTGGCAAGACAAAATATTTCAGGATTTCTGCGAGAAATGCCCTGATGCTTGCAGGTTCATGTGCCTGACATACATCATTAGCGTGAGCTGGTACCACTATGTAACAATTAAGGACGTGTGCCAGAAAAGTAGGCATCTGGGTCTAATTTTACCAAGAAAAAAAGACTGCTTGCTTAGTTATCTTATGTTGCAAGACAAAGTTGTTCATGATCTTGCAGATTGGAGGCCATCTGGAAAAGGCCTGTGACTGAACAGATAATTAATCAAGTTGAGAAATATTTCCGCTTTATAGAAGCCATCATCTTTTACAGAGAAATCTTGTTTCTTCACAGGTGGGAACAAATGTAAATGTACACTGAAAAGTAAAGGTGGAAATGTGGAGCCAAGCACATTTGCTGGAGAATGGAGAACTGAAATCCCGGCAAGTGAACCATCAGCTTCAGCAGACATGGGCTGCACAAGCAGGCAACATTTGTCATGAAATTATAAACAGTGTTGAGTTTATAATGCCTCTGAGTCCTGTGCTTGGAAGCAAACACCTGCTTTTTTAAAGGAATTACTGTTTTCTAGCTGTCTACCTGCCCCTCGGTGGCACATTCCCAGTTCCTAAGCACAGGGAGTAGAAATGAACACATTGAGCCAGCTCTAAAAACATGAGACGTGGTTTCCTGGAAAAGATGGGTGCTGCTAACAACACGATTATGGTTTACGACAGTGTCCTGGAAAGGCAGCCTGGCTGCTGGCACTGGTCCTAAGGCAGGCGACGGTGTGGCACGGGGCTCTGCATTTGGATAGTTAGGAAGTGACAGCAGAAATCATGGCTTCGAGAAGGAATGGTCTGGTCAGCACGAGCTGCTGCATTTAGTAGCTGGGGCTCTATTTTTTTCTCGGTCTTTCCTCTCAACTGCTTCTTCTCCCTTCTCCTCTTCCAACACAGCAGTGACTCAGAGGTGGCCAAGCCCTGGTCCCTTGTCACTGGGGCAATAACATTCAGCCTTGCCCTTCCTGTTCAGGACTATTTGCACCGTTTCTGAGTGAATGCCTTGGCGTTAGCTGCAGCGATTCATGCTCAGGCGCTTTAATGCAGCGCCTCCTTCAGTAACTGTGTGAACTAAGATTTGTGGTGGCGGAGCAGGCTGAGCTATGATACTGTAAACCATTTTGTTTGCTGCCTATAGCAGGGGCTGATTACCACTGGGGACAGCACGAGAAGACAGCTGGGGAACCAGGATGTCTTAATATGCCACAGCACCTTTGTTGGCTGCATTACATTACATAATATAAGCTGGACCAAAAAAAAAGGTCCAACAAAAACTACACATTTGGCAAGCCTGAGGTGCTTGATGAAAGCATTGCCTTTCTTTGTGTACTGAAATATTTACAAAATTCAGTATTTTCATTTTGAAGTTTAGCTATTTACATTTTTGAGTAGGCTTTCTGTTAATTACATTCATTTTTAATCTAAAAACATGTTTAAATGATCAAAATTTAAGTGAAATCCTTTGCTTGTCCTATGGCAACATTTTGAATTTTCAATTTAAAATGCTGGCATTCTACTTTTGTTCTGAGCCAGTGTTATTTTTCTAATTTTGAAAAAGCTAATAAATTAGAAAATCAATTTCATCCCCTATTAGATGACACTGTTAGGAACACTGAAAGAATAAGGAGAATAAAGGAATCTTTTGGCGTTTTAAAATGTCTTCTTACTTGCACCAGATTGCTCTCACAGCTGCCACAGAAGTCATGGATGCCATTGATTTTCATGCTTCTTTCAGCATTTGATATGATTGTTCAAAAGTGAACAAATGTGAGAGCAATAAAATGGACAAACTTAATTGAAAGTTTCATATTTATCTGGTGTTTTAAGGGACGTTAAAAAAGTTGTCAGTAATGGAGAATAACATAAGGGACCTCACAACTAGAATATAAAATCTTTAAGGAGGTGCATATTTTTTAAAATGTCAGCTTTGGCTTATACCTGAAAAATAGATGTGCTCTGGGATCCCTCTTCCACACTGAGTGCTGTAATGGAAAACACGCTCTTCTTACTTACACTAAGCAGGAAAACCAACAGATCATGTCAGACATAGAGAAATGCCTGTAACTTTTGACAGTTTCTGTACCATGCTTCGATGTTTATGAACTTTTCCTTAGGGAATATTTATCTTAGAAACCCCCGTAGAAAATCACAGGCCTCAAAAATAAATGGAAAGGGCATGGATATGAAAAATTGTGTTTTATATATACACTGGTATATAAAAAAGGCAACAAAAAGTAAATGAAGTAAAAAGAGCATTTCATTGCTAATTAAAAAGTTCCACGTTTAGAGGCCCAGTAATCTCTACTGATGAGGAAATATGTATGTATGAACAGATGCAACAAAAGTAATTATATGTCTTGTTATATTTCATCTAATTAGGAATTATGATGACTTTAAGGTATGCATTTAGAAAGAAACACAGCTAGAACAAGTCTGAAGCATGCACTCTGACCAATGCCTTAGATTCAGGACGAAAGGCAGATTTTATGAGGCCCTTGTGTAAATTAGATCTCAAATGCAGAAGAGACCTTAACACTGTTTTTTCTTCTTATAAGAAAAACTTGCAAAAATAAAGCTGTTGAAATGGATATTAAGACAGCACAAACACAGGGTACAATATAATATTTTCATAAAGGAGAAACTACATTGTAAAGTAGATTGTCTCCTGCTACTTGTAAAATCAGGTTGTCATGCACTGCTCTGTCCATAAAGAAGCATGACTGAATATAAGTTTTGGCATTTTTTTTCACTCTCTTTTGTAATGATAATATTTTTTACTTTGTTAATTAAATCAATATGTTAGTGTAGCTCCAACAGAAAAAGCAAGAGGCAAGTGGCAAGGATTGGGCAGCCAACGGCTATTTTACACCATCTGTATACTATTCACAGGCAGGGAAGACTCTGGCCGTTTAAGTTTAGTTTGCCAGGGAAAAAAGGGTGCAGCTTAGCAGAGAGTCAAGATTAATGATTAACAATGTACAGGTGAAGTTTTTTGTAGGTTTTGTTTGTTTATTTGGTTGCTTTGTTGGTACTTTGTCTCCCTATTGCTCTTTTAATTGATTTACAAATTATTTTATGTGGGATAGCCAAAAAATCTCAAAGGACAGAATTCAGTTTCAGAATGCTTACAACATTGACTGTCTTGGATAGGGTAAAAGAGGTGACTCTTAAGAGAACCTCTCCCTTACTTATTTACTCTTTACCCATCTTTCTAGTAATGCTCTTTTATCAGTGATAATACTGCCTCTGACATCTGCTACATAAGCGCATAGCATTCATTCCTAAGAAGCTATCAGTTGTGAGGTGTGCTACAGTAGGGTCAGAGCAAAATTACAGTTCTGGTATTTTTGCCGTTAACTTGGTACAAGATCAAAGTGCTTTGGAAAACAGCTTGTTTCCCCTAAATCTGGGTGTTGTCACGGTAGGGGAAATCTGAACAGGCCTGATCTTCCCTGCAACAGTTCCTTCTCATAATCTCTCTGTGGAAGAGGGACCAATATGAGAAAGGGGTGATGCTTTTGTAGTGATAGCTCTGGAGACTCAGGGGCCTGGTTTTGGTCCCCGTGCAAGTCTTGCAGTAAGCCACGTTTCTTCATGAACGTTTCTTCAAGAACTTCTCTTTCTAGGGAAAGGTGTGCAAAGCACGCCTTGCTTCAGACTGGCGCTTGGGATTCACCTTTATACTGGTGAGAACACTGTGGTGACCCAGCAATGGTGCCAGAGAGGGGTTTAGATAATGCGTGCCTATGTGGGGGGATGCGCGTGCGTGTGCGTGCACGTGCGTGTACAGAAGCCTCAAGCAACTCCTGCAGCCTTAGGAACAAGGCAAGCAGAAAGGCACTAGATTCCTTTTTCATTAGTTAATCACTTTTGGATTCGATCTGTGTCCATTTACTGCCATGCAACACTGGGTAGATGTTTCTTGTTTTTCTAAAAGGTGCAAAGTGGTTCTTTTTATGATGATTTTTTTTTTTAAAAAGGTAGATATAAAATGGTAAATATAAAGAAGGAAGCTTGCTTTTGCATAGCCAGTAAGCAATTGGTTTATGCTGCTAAGGAATATTATATTTTGATACTGAAAAAATAGAAGAATATTTAGGGCCTTTCTAATGAAAAAATTAATTACCTGATACCACTTTGTGCCTAGTTGCAGGGGAAGAGTACAAAATGTACCATTTCCATATTTATCAAGCTGCCTTATGACCTGCATATAATGAGACCTGACCACAGTCATGAATATGACAATGAATCACAAAGTATGTAAATTAATTTAAAGACAAATAAAAATAGATCTTGGATAATTTTTTCCTAAATCCAGAATATTTTTCTCTAAATATAGGTGTTTTAGTTAACAGCTGAGTTATGTAAGAGCTTAGATATACACCTGTTAGTTATGAACTGCATTGTATGCTGTCTGTGGTATGTTATAAAGATAAAATGTAGTATTCATTGTAATAATAATTATGTATTACATTAAATGTGTAGAACAGCTATGGTGAATAACACTATGCTAATAGAGCAATAGGAAAAGTAAAGTTCCCATTATACATTATACACCTCTTACTGAGTTCTGTCATCAGCATGCTGGTTGGTAACCCATGTCAGCCAGAGTGGTATATCTGAATAAAAAGCATAATAAGGCCACCATCTCACCATGAAGTAAAACTCCAGTTTGGACATTCACGAAGCTTAGGAAATATTAGATATGAATAAATGACCACATCTGAACTTCACGGCCAGTTCTCCTCTATGACTTTTCTCAGCTGAATGAATTTAATGTGTAACTATTTGAAAAAATGCTTGCTTATAGAGATTCCCTACATGCTTACAAAATTGATGTACATAAAAGCATTAGAGGTTGGGAATGAATGCGTCTTTTAGATTTGTTACTATTCTCACATCCAACTTGAAATCATGTATATCTGTATTTTGTAAGGGCAGTTGCCCCTATGGGAACAGTTAAACTAAAGATAGGGGTGGTTAACAAAATAACAAAGGCATTTTTAGTCATGCCGCAGCACTTGCTAGACACTTGTGAGATTCTTAAATATTATACCCATGTGCTATTGAGGCTCTCTTGAGAGGGCTGTAACTCTCAGGACATAGGCTCCCTGTCTGTAATATTTCACTTCTCACCTTTCCCAGGACTACTGATGATACCTGGACTCCACAGCATTTTATGAGCATGCTCTCCCAGGGTTTTTTAGGTGTGCTGGATTTACAATACGTTTTCCAAGGCTTCTGTTAATTCAAAGAAGACATCCAGACTTTCTCAGAGATGTTAACCACAATTACTTTAAATAGTACAGAAAATAATTGTAGCCGAAAGAATAAACATATCATTCTGTATGGTTTTGTTTGGTCAACTTTT